GTGCCTTCGAGTCGTGAGGCAGACCTCCGTGAGCAGATCCTTCTGCTCTGCCTCTTCGCCTTCCTCGCAAATCGCAAGGCAGGCCCCAACGAGTGGATTCCGTGCTCCTGCCTTGTCCCTGCGCATATAGCTCAGTTGATAGAGCTTAATTACAGAATGACGAGCTTGCACTTTGTGTCGTGTATACCAATATTTGAGGGTTCTGATTTGAGGGCTTACACTGGAATAAAATTAAAAAAAATAAAGGCCTTAAAAATGATGGAGCCCTCAAATCAAAAATAGACCTGACAGAGCTCTCCCATGCCTTGCTTTGGTGCATCAAGAATGCAAAGGATGGAAGGATATATCGAAAGTATGATTCGAGGTGATCGTACGGGAAATAGATGTTCTTTTCTCAATCATAGTATATAACACAGACGCTCACATATACGAATATGTATTTACCTCTATAAATACACGCATGCTATCGATGGATATATCATCTACCACTAAAGAGTAGTACCATTAAATTTTAAAATAAATCAAAAACTGACACGTCAAGTTCAGGATGAGCTGCACTCAGTTCGTGTAAAATAGATGCTTTCAGTTGCTGCTCTAATTTGTTTTTTTTCCCTCCCTTTAGTTACCGCCGTTGATTTAGGTCCCTCACATATTGTGTTCCTTTAATCCCAAAATATACATCGATCAACTACCAAAACATCAACATATTGTATTCCTTTTATCCCAAAATAAAAACAACTTTTTGAGTTGTTCTAAATCAAACTTTTAAAATTTGATTAAATTTATAGGAAAGAGCATTTTACACTAAATTTATATCATTGGATACACTCAAATATATTTTCATAGTGTATTTATTTGGTATATCTATATCTTCATATCACTACTACACAAAATCTTTTACGCAGCGTTTCCAAAATAGCCTCGGAGGCGGGCTGCTTGGTTGCCCGCCTCAGTTATTCGAGGCAGGGCAGCCGGGCCAGCAACCGCCTCGGTTAATACTTAACTGAGGCGGACGCTATAACATAACCGCCTTGGTTAATGCTTATTAACCGAGGCGGTTGCCCTAAAGCAACCGCCCCCGTTAATCGATATTAACCAAGGTGGGCATTTTACATTGTCCGCCTCCGTTAATCCATTTACTGAGGCGGGCACTCTTAAAGTTCCGCCTCAGCAAATCAGGCCCAGGCGCCCAGCCCACACCCGCCCACTACCACCTCCAGCATATAAAAGAAAACACAAACCCTAAAACACTTAACTCTCTCCCTCACCCTGTAACCACCAGAAAAGAGCGCTCGGTCTCCTCTCCCCTCCCTCACGGTCTCCCCATCCCGCCGCCCCTCCCACTCCCCCACCGCGCCCCTCCCACTCCCTCTCCCTCAACGGCTCCTCCCTCTCCCCCACAGCAAGCGCAGGGCAGCTCCTCCCTCTCTCTCTCCTCTCCATCTCCCTCCCTCTCTCCGGTGGCGGTGGCAGGCAGTGGTGTGCAGCGGGGCGGCGTGGGTCCACGTGGTGGTGCGCGGCCAGGCGACACGGGGACACGGGGCCGGGCGGTCGCGAGGCCCACGGTGGCGCCGGGCTGGGCGGTACATGGAGGCGGCACGGCGTCCTCCGTGTCTAGATATGGACCCGACGGTGGCGTGGGGCTCGGCGACGATGGTGGCGCGGGACTCGGCGTCGACGGTGGGGGGGGCTTGACTTGGCCTTGCGATAGGTCAGCTCTCCTCTCTCTCCTCTCTCTTCTCTCTTTCGTCTCCTCACTCTTCCCTCTCTCTTTGCAGATCTGGAGCCGGCGAGCAGCGCCCCTCCCTCTCCCTCTTCTCCCACAGGAGAGCAGCAGGCGGATCCGGAGTAGGGGGCCAGCGGATCCGGTGAGGAGGAGGCCGGCAGATCCGGAGCTGGGGGCCAGGGGCCGGCGGATCTGGAGCAAGGGGCCAGGGGCCAGCGTATCCGGCAAGGAGGCGAGGAGGAGGCTGGCGTGGGCGGCGGCGGCCTCTGCGTGGCGGATCTCGCTAGTGGGCTCGAGGAACAGGCTCGCCCGGTGGGCTTGGGACTTTTTGTTTTTTATCGATTCTGAGACAAAGCGTTAGGCAGCCTGCCTTAGTTAATCGATTAACCGAGACGAGCAAGGCAACCACCTCCATTATTCATGGATTAACCGTGACCTTTCGACGGAGGCGGTTGCCTTTGCCTGCCTTGGATAATGAAAAACGTTCACCTCGGTTAAGTTTATTGTAGTAGTGTATCTTATAATCCTAAACCTAAATCTTATACTCTTATAAAGCAAAATCCCACTACTTATTTCTCTCAACATGCAAGTTGTCCAACTAGGCATTCCACTATCACACACACTTCAACAAGTCACCTATCTCTCTCATTATACAAGCTATCCAACTAGGCAATGCACTATCCCACACAATTAAAATCTACTAGCCATATAATTGTAACATCCATGTCAGCAAGACACATAAGTATTTTATTGTCCATGTCAACATGTCACGCAATCCACTAATCTGCAATTCCCGCAGCAACGCGCGGGGTATTCTTCTAGTATCTTATAATTCTAAGCCCCACTAGCATTATATCTCCACTTGCAAGCTGAGCAGACAACTATCACATACAATTACACCCCCACTAGCACATACAATTATAATATCCACGCCAACCAGACACATCATCCACTAACATCTATTTAGTTGTCTAAATCAGCATGCCATAACGTCCACCAAAATTAATTTATAAATGCTAAAATTACCACCAGTAGAAGTTGGTAATTTGGATATATTTGAGAGGTTACTTGTCATGGTTTGTTGTGGGTCCAGACTGATTGAGGTATAGTAAGCTAAAAGCCGAGTCTTATTTATAGATTCTCTTCCCATCGTCTCTATAACTGTAAACCGACACAACAGGAGCGCCAAGCCACTGCGAACTACCTCTAGCTTAGTTCGATCTCATCAATCAAGAGCTTCTTGGTAATCCTAGTCTCCATCCTAGCCAACGCAAGCTAGCCCATGAGCCATGGCGACGAAGGAATTGTGGGCCGGGATTGGATCAGCCCTGGCGTTTTTATTTACCCTCATCACCATGGCAATGAACCAATCCCGGATCAAAGTGTTGATCAACAAGATCAGCGCATACCTCAACGCATACATACAAATCACCATCCCAGAGTACGGCGCCGAGCGTTTCCAACGCAGCGACTTGTTCGTCGTGGTCGAGACCTCCCTCTCGGACTTGTGCCGTGAACTTGGGGCGCGCAAGCTCAAGGCCGAGCTGGAGAGCCACATGCAAAAGCCCCAGGTGTCGGTTGGCGACGACCAGGAGATCATTGATACCTTCCGTGGTGCCACGCTCTGGTGGTACGCCGACACAGAGTCCCCGAAGTCCAACGTCATCAGCTGGGAGCCTGGTGACGAGAAGATCAAGGATGATCTCAACGCCTTCAAGGTTGGAAAGAGCTACTACGACAAGGTCGGCAAGGCATGGAAGCGTGGATACCTGCTGTTTGGGCCGCCAGGCACCGGGAAGTCCATGATGATCGCCGCCATGGCCAACCACCTGAACTACGATATCTACGACTTGGAGCTCACGGCGGTGAAGAACAACACGGAGCTGCGGGAGCTCCTCATCGAGACCAAGGGAAAATCCATCATCGTCATCGAGGACATTGACTGCTCGGTCGACCTCACCAACAAGCGCAGGGACATGAAGGCCGACAAGAAGTCCGACGACCAGAGCGACGTGAAGACCATGCTACAGAAGAAGGAGGATGACAAGGACGACGAAGCCAGCTTGGACCCTTTTATATAAACATGATAATACTACTAAGTACTATTTATATATTGCTAGTATATATACACATATATACGGAATGTTACTATTCATATGAAATATTTTGTATATACATATTAAAATACCTAAAAATTTCTTCTAACATTGCTCGATGCTTGAAATCATAAGTGATGATGTCAATATCAATCTCATCCAACAAACGCTTCTCAATGCATAATGTTATCAATCTATTTAACCTCTCTTATAACATTGTAGATTTCAAATAGTTCTTTAGTAATTTTAGTTTTGAGAAACAATTAGTAAATTCAATTTCAAATAATATCAATACGCTAGCCAAAAAAACACAAAGATTAAACAATTATACACTACCTTAGGGAGTCAAGTGCCCGACACATTGAATATTGAGAGAATTTCTTATTTGACACTGGGAAAATGAGCCGTTCCTTTCTTGGTCCTGAAATTTTCTTCGTTCCTTATTTGACACTCACTTGAACTTTCATCCCTAATCGACACATGATCAAATCCGTCCGCCTAACGGTGTTAAGTGGCTGTTAAAAGACCTTTTGCCCCTGGGTCAAAAACATGTTGACAAAAAAAAAGAGCAGCCAGCGGCTAGATCCGCTGCATGCATGCGCTGCATGCATGCGCCCAGCGCCCACTGCATGCATGCGCCAGCACCCAGGGGCAAAAAGGTCTTTTTAACAGCCACTTAACACCGTTAGCTGACGGATTTGACTGCGGTGTCATATTAGGGATGAAAGTTTAAGTGAGTGTCAAATAAGGAACGAAGAAAATTTCAGGGCCAAGAAAGGAACGGCTCATTTTCACAGTGTCAAATAAGGAATTCTCTCTTGAATATTTGAATACTCTAGCGTCGGTCGTACATGGTTAGGGATGACAGAGATTCATACGTGATTTGTTGGTTGCTGCTGCCTGCCTGCTGAAAGCATGGTTGCCTGGAATACGTCGTCACCCTATGCGGATCACCGTGCAGACGTGCTCCGCCGGCGACTCGCTGCCTGGCGGCGGCTGTGCCTGCCATGACTCATGAGGAAGCCGATAAGTCAGAGGAGAGAGGAGACGAGTCGTGTGATCATGGAGACGTGGATACGGACATACTGTGTTGATTCATCTGCCGTATGTTTACTGGGCTCAAATGCTGAATATTAATACTAATCTATGTGTATCTGGGGGGGGGGGGCATCGGCTCCATGGACCTGGGACGGCAGCCCCTCTCGCCCCGCCCCAGGGCTGGGCCTGTGACGGGCTATGGTCGGCGTGCTGCGAAGAGCATCTTCGTCTTCACCACCAACTACAAGGACAAGCTGGACCCAGCGCTGATCCGGCGAGGCAGGATGGACATGCACATCGAGATGTCCTACTGTCGCTACGAGGCGTTCAAGGTGCTGGCCCATAACTACCTGGACATCGACGAGCGCCAGTTTTTCGAGCTCTTCGGTGAGATACACCGGCTGCTGGAACAGGTTGACATGTCTCCTGCGGACGTTGCCGAGCACCTGATAAGGACGGAGAAGAAGGATGCCGGCACATGCTTGAAAAGTCTCGTCAGAGATCTGAAAAAGTTAAATGCCCAGAAGAACCCGGCAGCCGATTGTCCTCCACAGGATCCAGTTCTGACGGTGACGCCGGATTTAAACCCGACAGTGATCAATATATTTGAGGAAGCAAGGGACAGTACATTTGAGTCATAAACTGCCCCCGTTTGTTTTATTATTGTTGTTTTCAGAGGGAGTAATAAGTAGCTAAGCTATGCTAGCTTAGTTTGCGTGAGACGTTGTGCTTTCAACTACTGCTATCTTTAGTCATGTCAGTTGATTTTTTTAAGATCCGGTTATCCAGCTTTGTATTAATATAAGAAGGTTTCAGAGTTTGCAGCTTACAAGCGCGAGGAGCCCTAGTTCCAGATGTGCCATAGTGTGAGAATGGCTAGTGAATGCGCTGTTTTGTGCCCTTTTGTGTCAAAGCTATAAACAAATCTTCTGTTTGATTGTGATCGGACCATCCCGATGGTTGTAAGTTTTGGCAGTTGCTCCAAACAGCTACCACCTCCCAAACAGCTCGCGTGAATGGGCACTCGAGGAATAGGTGAAGAGAGGTTTCGGGCTTCTCTCACACAGGCGCAGAAATAGTTGTTCTTCCACCCGAGTAGCTGTAGTCTTGCCGCAGTCCATAGTCTGACCTGTAATAGGATCCACGAGAAAAACTTACATCATGGGCGGCGCCCATGTCTTCAAGATCTGTGTGGGAAAGTTGGAAGCAATTTGTCCCGAGAATTGGATGTTATAAGCTGAGTTTGCAGAGTACTCCCCAGAGCTTTCAAGGGACCAAATGATTTGATCTGCTTGGTCTGTTTGACTGAGGTTCAGCTGTAGCGACTCTATACTTTGCCACAGACCAAAGAATTCTCGCAGTAGGATTGCATTCAGATTGTACGCAATGTCGCTAATCCATTTTCCTTGTAGCATAGCATCCCTGACCGTTATGTTTTTTCTCCTGCTGTGGTTGACACAAGAGTGGGTATATAGTTGATGGCACTCATCCATCGATCCAGCTAGAGAACCGGAAGAATGCTCTTTTACCATTATGAATCGTCACTCTTGTGACAGCTGCAAAGAGGGTGATGTCCGTCACGTCAACCGGCAGCGACATACCAGCCCATGGCCGCTCCAGATTTTTCCAGGACATCCATAGCCAGCGCAGAAGGAGCACTCTGCTGAACCTTTCCAATGCCAGGATACCAAGTCCACCAAACTGCACAGGTCTAGTTACAAGAGACCATGCAACTTTGCACTTTCCTGCTGTGATCTCCCCCGTCTCCTGCCCAAAGAAAGAGCCTTCAAATTTTGTCAAGGGTCATGTCAGTTGATGATTTACGTTCTTCATGGCAATGCACCTTGATCAACAAGATAAAAGGATCAACGCTCTCAGTAAATTATACTTCCTAAGCCCTAAAATAAATTTATTTAAAATTGTTCTAAGTTAAATATTTTTAAAATTTATATAAAAGAGCACTTGATATCAAAATTATACAACTGGATATACATACACCAAGCATATTTTCATAATATATGTATTTGGTACCATAGATTGTTGCTAATTTTCTATTTAAAGTTGGTTAAAATTAAAATTGTTTCACTTTAGGATAACCATAGAAATCGATATATTATGGAACCAGGAGAGTATATAGTTTAAAACGACCACAATAAAACTAGAAGCAACAATTCTCTTGAAAAGTCTAACAAAAGACTTGCCATCGTATTGTTATTTGCGGAAAGATGAGGCGGGAGATTCTGTGCTACTCGGTCGTGTGTGAGGCATGTGGATGGGAACCTTGAGTGCTTATATATTCCGCTATCTGGCGACTTGGACACCAATACACCATTAAAGGCAAAACGTTCTTTGCTTCAGCCTCCATATGCTCCTCTGTTCGTGACCTTTGTTGGTCCGTTTCCTTGTGCACACCTTGAACATTGCCCGCTTTTGCTTTCGTCACACAGACAAAACACAGAGGGATTAATTCTGTGAAAGGAGAAAGCTGCAGCCTGCAGGTAAGGATGAAAACGGAACGGAAATATCCCGAACCGAATCGCATCGTTTTCTATATTTAATCCGATCGAATCCGTATTTTGTTGTCCGACTTTACCATTTTCGCTTTCGCATTTCAGATGTTTCGTATTTCAAATGTAAAAGTAGAAAACGGTTTAGACATTTTTCGACCGTTTTCTACTTTTCTACTTTAAATTTGAAATATTCCGAATTCAAAATTCGGTTTAAACCGAATTTGGCCAACTGCACAGGTCATACAGGCCAATTACAGGCTGCTCACCACGCAGCTGCGTTCTTGTTAATTCCTATTATCCTGCTAGCTACTGATTGCTTGTTCTAGATTTGTATTTATGTGTCGGCTATTGTGTTAAATACCTAAGACCAAGGATCATGCACTTGTTAACTATTATATGCACTTGAACTTGATCATGTATGTACTTAGTCATGCATTTGGTCCTATGGGTCGGTATTCCGTATTGAGTTTTCGTATATCGACCGTGTTCGACATAAATCCGCTCGAATTGGTTCGTTTTCGGAATTCTCGATATTTCGTAAGTTCGCGTTCGTTTTCGTGTCCGACTTTACCGTTTTCGCTTTCGTTTTCGTATTTCAAATGTAAAAGTAGAAAACAATTTAGGAGTTTTTCAACTGTTTCCGACCGTTTTCATCCTTACCTGCAGGTCCAGGAGATCTTTTGCTTTAGCTAACGTGTGTTGCCACAAATAATATGTTGAATACTCACTGATGACTTGCACACCCTGGAAATGCTAAATGTTATTCATCCTCGGCTAATAGACAAAGCATGTGTGCGGAGCACCTTAAAGAACTGTCGTCCTTCATCCTTTGCACACCTTAAAAGAATTACTCATGTTACAAGTGTAACACTCGTGTTTTTGCATCATATTAAAAATCACTAAAAATTTGAACTTTTAAAACTTTACAACAAACTAAAACTTGATTAGTTTATTTCCTGCAAAACCCTTTTGAAAAAAACCTTTTCAAAAACTCTGCATCAAAATTCACCATATGCATTTGCGTGTCCCGTAGGATTTAGTTGTAGCGCTAGAATTATTTTCTAGGATTAGAGAATCGCTTCGCATTTAAAAGTCCATTGCCTGCGCCTTGTATGTTTGGAATGCTTGCGTGGTTGTTTGAATGCTTGATTGATTGAATGTTCGCTTGCATGCTTGTATGATTGCTTTTCTGGAATTTACTTGTGGCACCAAAATAACTTCCCTTAATTATCAATTGCATCCTTGAATTATTTAAAACCTTTCTTCATATTATAGAGGTAGATAATGCATCGTAAGTATAAACAATATTTTGTTACCTTCTCTGCTTAATTATAATAGCCATCGCATTAATAGATTATAGGTTTAATTTTCCGATATTCCCTTCTCAATTTCCATTCAGGTAATATATAGGAAACATGGAAATATGAAATAACTACTTTAATCTCTATTATAGTGTTTAGGGGATACATCATACATACGACTCTTGATTATCTAGGAACTCATAATCTCTTGATATTTAGAAATACATCATAATGGTATTACTTTCTCTAATCAGAAGTACCTCATCTATCTATAATATATATATATACATGCATTGTTACATCATCTATTATTTACAAAAGATATAGAATAGGAGAAATTCTACTGTGTACGCTCTCCCTCCCGCCGATCGGGCCCAGCTCGACCACCTCTCGGCCCGGCCCAGGACGCACGGCGTCGTCACGTCCGCGCCGCGTACGCACTGCGTCGTCGTTCTCCCCGGCCGAAATATCGGCAGCCACTGTGCGTAACCGCCTCTCTCCCATGTCGTGTTCCGGCGAAGCTTATCCCTTCCGGATTTCCCGTCGTCCAGCTCAAGCCCAACCCCATCCTAGCTGCCATGGCCGTCGGAGATATTTGCCCCGCCACCGCCTAGCTCCGCCTATAAAAGAGGACGAGCTCGCCGTTGTGGAGGCGTCGGTGAAGACGAGCTCGCGCGCGCGATGGAGAAGCCGGGGCCGCTGCCTAAATCGGGGTCGCCGGAGCCGCTGCCCGACGCTCGCCTTCCGCTGCTGCTGCCAAGCGCCCGCCGTCGCCGTGCCTTGCTCTGTTCTCCCGTCTCCCTCCATCTCTACCTCTCCCTCTCTGCTACTTCTCCCTCTCTTCTCCTTCCCTGACCAGCGCATGCCACCGGCCACCTCGCTGGAGCCGAGGTCGCCGTTGGCCGGAGTCGCGCTGCCCTCTCCCTGCTTCCTCCATCCTTCTCTTTCATCTCCGCCTTACCTTCCCTCTCCCTCTCTCACTCAGTTCGAGATGGGCGTAGAGCGCCGCCGCCAGCACCTGTGCCCCTGCTGCCGGCGCCCTGCTCCCTAGCTCCTTTCCCCTCTCTCTCTTTTCCCTCTATCCCTTCTCTCTCTCCCTCTCGCTTCCCCTCTATTCCGTTCACGCGGATGAGAACGACCGACGCAAGGTAGCGCTCGGCCACATCACTCGACCCAATAGGGCAAGCCACGCCTGGCCACGGGCCCCGCCCGTCATGGACTCTACCCCCTCTTTCCCTTCTCTGTGGACTCGGACCACGTGAAACAAAGAGAGAGAGGAGCTGAGTCCACAGATCGGTGTTGTGGTCCGCGAGCACAGTAATGGTCAGCCTGCCAGCTGACCAGGCCCACGCGCCAGCTAAGGGTAAAATGCTACGCGTACCCGGGAATTGTACACAGTAAAATAAAAGGTAAGCCTTTAGTTATAGAAAAATTCCTAGAAAATTTGTAAATAAACTAGAATCACCCTAGATCATACCTCGATATTTGCCGCTGATTTTTCATTGGCTATAATTGTAGGAATAATTTGCATGTTTCTTTCCATTTGCGTTTTGCAGATAAACTTAGATAATTTATAACTCATTCATCTTAATTTCGAATTCCATAATTATTTCACCATAAATCTTCTAAATACTACCTCCGTTTTCGTTTACTTGTCACCGAATTTTCTTCAGAGCAATTTTGACCATACGTTTTTTCTGCAAAAGATTTTTAGATACATCAAGTTTTCACATATATGATTCTTTATTGAATATACTTCATTAGTGCTATATACATTGAAGTATCTAAGATTTTTTTTAGAAGAAAAAACAGATGGTCAAATTTGCTACA